ATAGACTAAAAAAATTGAATGAAGTTAGAACAATAGGTGGGCTATTTCAGAATTTGCATCTAACTTGAATCTTTTCAGAGCTGCCACCTAATTTCTGGATCTAGATCTAGATCTAAATAGAATCTACGGGCAACTCATGTAGAGCTTTATCCATCAGGATCCAAAGAAGTGGTTTGTGTATTGCAAAGTGGGTGTCTGCTATCATAGCGGCCACTGAAGCTGGTCAAAGAAAGCTAAGAAATTGATTCCAGTCCTTCGGATTTTCTTGCCCTGAGACTGTTTTATATGGTTATTAGATAACTGGAGATGATGGTCCCACTGGTGCAGCCCAAGCATTTGAGTGTCAGACAAACATTTGTAGGGGCTGAGGGCTGAGGCTGCCCCTAAAGACATTACAGGATACTGAAAATCAACAATATTATTGAATTTAGTGGCAGTAAGTTGCAATAGAAAGCATACACCAATGGCTTATCATCAGGAGGTGATGAAATATGCATGGTTCATTTTGGTTTCAAAGGTCACAAGTGACAAACACAACGGCAAACAAAGGGGAAGGTTCTTAATAAGAAGGGTTCTCTGAAAGTAGGACATGGTTAAGTTGAATGTCAGAGGTTGCATGTGACAAACAAAGTGACAAATCATAGAATGCTTCATAATCACATGGGCTCTCTGAAAATATCGCCTTCATCAATTCTAGGGAGGCGAACCAAGCCCCAAAAAGACACACCCTGCTGATTTTGGGGCATGGTCCCTTAAATATCAGCTGATTTTCTTTTCCGATGAGGCTTGTTGTCGTCCAAACCGGTTGACTACTTTGTGGCCCATGAAGCCATCATTGTCAACCAGCCGTGCCAACATCAAGTTGTCATGCAGAGGCACTGACCATAGCGATCTCCAATCCGTCATTGACAGGAAAAGACAGGCCCAATGCAACCACACCACAGGATAGTCCATCTTTGAATGAAGGGAAAATCAAAGGTCTGAAGCATGCGTCCGATGACAAAAACACAACTATGCAGTGCACTAGCTAGTCATCCTTGTTTTGTGGAGCTCATGAAATTGTTGTAGGCAACTATCAAGGAACGTAACAATAAGACAACATCCTCAGACGCCCAGGATGACAAGTTCGCAATTGCTTCAAAGATTGTCATGGCAAATAAAAATCTCATGGGTAAAAAGGACTCGGACAATCTCTCAAGTGAAAGGTTCTTTACAGGGCTCTTTGCAAATGCAATGAATGCAGTATTGGATGAGGGTCACAACTCTCCATCAAGCTTGCATTGGTTCTGGCGCAACCAGTTGGATTTTGGTTCTGGCGGACAGACAAGCGACAGGCTTGTCATCGTCCAAACCGATTGACAACTTTGTGGCCCATCAAGCCATCATTGCCAACCAGCCATGCCAACATGCGACCCATCAAGTCGTCATGCAGAGGCACAAGCCATAGCGATCTCCAATCTGTCTAATACAAAATAATCATCTCTACAGGAAATAACTATTCTAAAAGACTTGTTATCTACATGGAATGGGCAAAGCAAAACCTTGCACAAACACTCAAATTTCCCAAACCTTTACTGGATGTTTGCAATCCAGAAAGGCCGGTACAAAACCCACCTACAGAACTCCCGCAGGATTCAGTATGGGATTTTCGTGGCGCTCAGACAGTTTGATAGTCCAAGCGCACAATTCCATGTTTTCAGATTCCCTGCAAAAACCGACTCATAGGAATCCCCCAAATAAACGGACCAAACGGACATTTGTCTGTCTGTCTGATCGGACATGTCAAACTAATGGTCTCCAAGAGAGCTATTTAAACACTTGGGTCAACTTGTTTGGGGCTATCGTGGGGCTATTGTGGGTCATCTTTGGGTCAGCGTTGGGGCTTTCAAGGTGTATATTGTCTGTACACTTTGTTTGTTTTGGGTCTAGTCTTTTGTTCTTGTTAGTTGTGTTTATCGTTTGTGTCACACTTCTTTGTGTGCTCTACCTGGTGGTGTTGACTTGGGCATGATGTTGGCAACTTTTAGTTTCATCTGTGTTGCCGCATCTCTCACTTTCTTGCACACCACGTCCGGTATTTTGTAGTCTTGTTCAAAGTCAAATGGTTCATACACTTCATCTTTGACAATGTTGATCTCTTTCTGGTACCAGGCATATTTATGCGGGCTCTTGTTCAGCACCTGGTCTACTTTGCTGGGTTTGATGGGTACTGTTGGGCCATATGTTGTCTTGTTGGTGAATTCTTTCATTAGGGGCCAAACGGGGCTTGTCATTGGGGAGCCTTGCTTTGTATTTATTGGTTTTGGTATGTACCACTTGCAGTGATATTGTCCTTTTGTTCTTGCTAATTTCACATACCAGTTGTTCCACCCTGATATGTTGTCTTGATGGGCTGTGGCATATAACTTGTCCTTGGAATGTGTGGTCCGTTTGTATAAACTCTGTAGACTGAGTTCTTCTGTGATGGTTTCTGTGGTATGGACCTGTCTGGTCTGGTTGGTTCCTTCTGTGTCTGCTGGTGGTACCTCTTTGTTAATCGGCCAGGATTTGTGTGTGCTGAATAGCGTCCAGTTTAGATGGTGTAGGGGTGCCGTCTTCTTCTTTGTCTGATGAATCTTCTGTTGGCTCAACTTCTTTTTCATAGATGTCCTTGATTGGATCAAATGCGTTTTCTGTGTCTGTCGTTGTTGTTGTGTATTTACCAAAATCTACCAGTCCTAGATTCATTTCCAGGGGGCTGTGTACAAGTGGGCTCCGCATGCTTACTAGTCTTGTATCTGGTGTGTCCACTCCTTTGTGTAGTATTATTGTTGATGGGATCTTGTGCATTCTGAATGCCGATTCTTTGATGGGGATTGATCCTTGCTTCTTTAACATGGTGCTTGTCCCTGGGATCTTTTGTAGTCTGTACAAGTCTTATGACGCTTTCTCAATGACTCTACAGGGTCCTTTCGTTTGCAAAACCAGTTTTGCTGGTATTCCTGCAGAGGCGTTTGATTGTACTTGTTTCCGCACCATGACAATGTCTCCAATTTCAAATTTCTGGTACTCCCTTTGTTCCTCACGGATCAATTTAAGCAATTCTTTTTCTCTCCAGAAGAGTGGGAACATTGTCTTGATGTGCTCTATTGTGTTCTGTCCTGTCATTTGCTGGTGGCATGTCCTGTTTTTCTTGCGGTTTCCAATATTGACAATGCCACTGCTGCATAGTCCAGTGGGAATTTGAAGTGTCATGCCACTGCTGCAAATGCTCATTGGATGCCTGTGCCATCTACTGGGGTTGCGTTCCATGTGTATGTTCCAAAACATGGTGTTCATTGCCCACTCTTTGTACATGTTCATGTCAGCTGCTCCAGCTCATTGCACTTTGTTGAGGTATTGCTTTGTGGAACCTTTCACATAGTTTTCCATTGTGATTTTCTGGGCTGACTGTGTGGTATGCAATTCCGATTGTGTCGCATAGGGTGGTGAATTGATCTTTGTTTTTGCTGCCTTTGTCAATGAGGACCAGTTGTGGGAGGCCTTTAAGAGTGAAGAATTGCAAGAAAGCAATTCTGGCCATGTTCCCTGAGTCCATGAGCTGATGAATGCAACTGTGGCGCAACCAGTCATGTTGCAAATGTAAGTGACTATGTTAGAAGTAAGCGATCCACTGCCGCCTGCAATCTACCTGTTCAATTGACTGCAATTTAGCTGTCCAGGTATTGTTGCCTTCTAAGTATATGAATTTACAGTATATAGAAGTATATAGATCTATCAGAGATCCTACTTTATCAACCAATTCACTCGTTGCTTGCAATATATTATAAAAAGTGAGAACAGTCTGTCAACTTTTGACTTTGACTCTTTCTTCTCCAGCTCAGTGGAAATTCTCAGAATTCTCTCTATGTCAGCCTGACATGCTGCAAGTTCAATCTGTTTATCCGTTCATCTTCCACAGTAGTTGGTACTTTGATTAGTATCCAACTTTGGTTCTTGCTTGAATCTTGCTTTCTTACATCATCAACATGATGATTTCCATAGAAAAAATTGTCTTTTCTGACTCGCCACGCGCGACATTTTTAGTCGTATCAGTCTTCATTTTTAGTCGTACCAGTCAACATCATTTCTCTGTCGTTCACATGTATTCTCTTTTTCTTGTTTCTCCAAATATGTACCACAACACACTCCTGCTGTTTCATTAACATAGTTGATGACAACGGAACATCAGAGGAAATTGCGTTGCTCCTAATCTTGTTCTCCTTGAATCAATGATCTGAAATCCAAGAACTTTTGTCCCTGTAGAGGTTTGCTCATGTTATCTAAGATAGCCTACTGCCGTCCTCTGTGTGTGTGTTCGTAGTATTTTGTCTTGGTGTGTAGCTGGTGAATTACCACGACACAAGTGGGTGAATTCAATCTCAGTCGATAAACTGGGCATCATTGCCTTGGCGCATCGACAACAACTTTTGACGGTCAAAGGCCGTTTGGCCTTTGTCCGTCTGTAACACAATGTAGTCAAAGAAATCGAACAGTGTGCCTGCGGTCTACGTTGGAAAATCTCTTCACATCTTTTCAGTTGGACAATATTCAATAGTCACATTTCCTTTCTTGATTTGATCAGTCATAAAAGAAATATCAAATGTTCAAAGCTCGGCTTCGCTTTCCGGCACTGTCACATCCATTCTTTTCCAATATAATAGAACTCTTGTTATCCTGGTATAGGATGTTCTCTTCAACAGGATGACCTTGTGCTTCCACAAACAATTTTGTCCACAATATCTGTGTCGCAGCATCATCGACACCAATCAATTTGGCTTCTGTTGAACTTCGACTGTTCAACTTCTGCTTCTTCAAGATTATTTGCAATCCTCCCTCACCCATAGTCAATACACCTCCAGTGTGACTTCTGAAAT